ATCAACTAAACTGCCTTAAAAAATTTTTTTTTTAAATTGGCTCGTGTGGGAATCGAACCCACGACCTCCAGGTTTGCTATCATTATCCACCATCAACTAAACTGCCTTAAAAAGAAAATTTAAAAAAAACTGGCTCGTGTGGGAATCGAACCCACGACCTTAAAAAAAATTTTTTTAATAAAGAAAATTAAAAATAAAAAAAAAAACTTGCCCCGTGTGGGAATCGAACCCACGATCGCTGAGTTTACTACCCCTGATCCAGCATGACTAAATGGAGGGAGATAAACCGCGGCCCCTAAGCCATAAATACAATAAACCTAGTACCACACCAAGTACCTGTTAGTCAACCTACTAGAAAAAATTCTTCGTATATATACACTACAGGTTAATATTATGCATGGTCATGGTGTCAAAAAAAATGGGTCGTGGGCCAAGAGGGTCTATTTTTTGTCTAAAAATGTATAATTAAATTTATAATCGATTTATGATTGTTACCATCTCCATAACTTACACACTTTTTTTTAAATAGACAAAAATTTTGGAAAAATTCATTATGCAAATTAGAAAAAAATAGACCAATCATGTTACGGGATTGAATCTATTGTACTCGTTGATGACGTCGCGAATTGCGAAATAACAACAAACAACAACCTTTCATGTCCCAGCCTAGGAACCCAGTCAATTCGAGCGGATGCCACTTCGAGCGAATTCGAGCGGATTTCTTTTCGAGCGGATGCTAGTTCGAGCGGAAGAAGATCCACTTGTGCGAACAACAACCTGTGCGAGTTATATACGAATTACTTTAAAATTTCTATTATTTCTATTTTTGAGCTAACAATTTGCTCAAGCTTTGCCTGGGAGGCAGGGGAAAGCCCCAGTCGGTTCCGGGGATGTATAGCAAGTCGTATTTAATGGATTTTTAGGTTAACAAATAATAAAGTTCAATTTGTTCTGATTGTATATGGTAAGTGAATTCTATTGAGAATAGGAATTTCCTTTATAGCCTGCCATCTCTATCTTTGAGTAAATAAATAAATAAACAAACAAACATACCCACATTCATAAAAATAATGATATATCTTAAATTATACTAACTTAGTCAATGTTATCCTTTCTACATATTTAAAAAAAAAACAGAAAAAAAACAGTGGGTTTTGAACTTTAGAAGAAAATTGGTATGATGTCATTATTACTGTACTGTTGATACTTGTCACAGGGGCGATCCAAAGTTTTTCAAAGGGGGAGATAAAGTAGCACATAACATTAATATGCATTGAAATTTTTAAAATAGAGGCAAAACCGCCCCTGTCTCACACTACTACACCATTCATTTGTGTACCTTCTGACACACCTACATACGTAAAAATAATTTAAATTCCTATGGGGTGATTAACAATTACACAATTAAAGTTGCTCCCATTTACAAATATAGACCTAAATCGTAAATCTACAAATACAATTACAAAATTATATAATTCAATTACAAATATATATAGTTTGCTTTTTTAAAATACAAAACCCCAATCAGTGGCGGATCTGGGGGGGAAGGGTGTGAATAGGGTGGCTAGGCACCCCCCTTTGTTTACCGTTAAAAAAAAATAATGGTCACTCGTCTTGTGTGTGTGCTTCTCGTGCACTCTAGTAAAACATACACTTTCTTTTTTAAGCTGAAAAGTGTGCAATTCTATTATAGTTTTAACTTGTTAGAGGCCATCTTGGTAGTCGGATTTGCAAAGACTGTAATGCAAACATGGAGTAATTATCAAAAAGTACTAAAAAACACTTTTCATAACCTTAGTAATTAGAGCATTTTTTGCATTTAAAACAAATACAAGAATAGGGCGACGATAAATTCGCCCTTGTTCGCCATAATCATAAATTTTCTTACCTCAGCCCCAACCATGGTGGGGCTGAGGTCGTCTACACTCTCCATCTGTAAAGGTCCCTCTCTGGGCCCAGCTCTATTTCAAATTACTGGATCCGCCACCGGATATTTTAAAAATTTCGTATGGAAATAAATGTTAATTGCATTGCTTAAAATCAATTAAAAGGCTATAGGCGCCAGAGCTTCTCGGGAACTTCGCCCCCTGGTACCCAACCAAAAATTTTTTTTCATTTCGTTCCCCCTTCACCACCCCACTTTCAACCACGGATCGACGCCCTTGATTTTATATTCCATCACGATAATAACAATTGCCATTCAATAATAATAGTAAGTATAGGCCTAGAGCATTTTTGGCAAGTGTTTTCACACGCATGGAATATTCAGTACATTTTCACGACAGGTTAAATGTACATATTTAAAAGCCATAAAAGCCCCCTAACGCAAATCCAGGTACACAATAGTTGAACCAACTTCAAATACTACAAATACAAATGTGCGTGACGATATTTTATTGCTTTAGAAATATGATTTAAAAATGTATATTGAATAACGCACTGAGTATTCAATATATTTTAACGACAGGTTGGGAAAAATACATATAGGCCCCCTAATTGATTCTCCTGACGCAAATCCAGGTATTGTCTATCGTCACGAAAATAACATTTATCATTCAATAATATAACAGTCATCGACCTACTTGCAGTGAATTGAATCTAAAATGTATTCATGATGTTATGATGATCTGAAGTGTTTAAAAACGTACACAATAATAGTTCAACCAACTTTAATACCACATTTTTTATTGCTTTAGAAATGTGATTTCAAAAAAGTAGTGCATCGTATACGTAAGGGCTTGTTTTGTTGTTTTTTAACTTGCAGCGTTTGGGAAGTAGGTAATAGGTAAATTGTAATGAATATAATCAATAATATATAGCATCTAAAACCAATTATTTTTTAAGGGTCCTTTTAAAGTTTAATTAGGATTTTTTTAAAGTTATATTTTTAGATCATTAGACCTATTGAACGAGCCCCCAATAGCCCCGGGCCCCAGTGCTGTGCACTGACTGCACTGTCCATACCTACGCCACTGGACCTAAGTATTATTAGTAGTTACATAATGTTTGATGTACTGTATAATGCGCTATAGAAGTGGAAGACCATAATGTATTGGAAATATGTATACCTCTCTCTCTCTCTCTGGTAGGGCCTACAGTACAATCAGTTTAAAAGTGTAAGGTATAGGATAGTGTGGATTTAAACATTTTCGTAATGGTAATGTTCAAAATAAGTGTCAAGGAAAGTAAGTATGATTGTTGGAAAAAATGGTCAACATTTTATTTTGAATTCTCACCCTGACCTTCGCCTGGGCACAGTTGGGGAAGGTCTGGATCCGCGTCTAGTTAGCATGAATTTTGTAAGCTGATGATGATGATGATGATGATGATGATGATGATGATGATGATGATGATGATGATGATGATGATGATGATGATGATGATGATGATGATGATGATGATGATGATGATGATGATGATGATGATGATGATGATGATGGTAATAATAATGTAATTATGATAATGATAATGAAATAGACGGCGAATGTTAATGATGATGATGATGATGATGATGATGAAACATTTTTCTATTACGTAATTCGGAATGATTGTTTTGTTATAAGATGACTATCTACTCTCGACCGCATAGTGCAATATACCCGGATAAAGTGTTAAAGTTATAGAAAATTTGGTTTTCGTATTGACATTGAAATGAGGAAGCCAACTAAACACGTCATGATTTTAGTCAAGAACTTAGGCTTACAACTGTATATATTTTTTGGGGGGGGTGGGGGTTCAATTTGTGTTTGACAGTTTTGGGGTGGGACGGACGGAGAGGGGTGTTTTTCTTGTCGGACAAGAATGAATCAGCCTCCTGTCGTCCGACGCTACTTTCGGGTGTTATGACTAATTTGATTATAATTAATGTGCCGATTCAACAAAAGTGGTTGTGATTGTAATTTCTAAAATTGAGGTCTAAAATAACAACTGTCCTAATTTCTAAAATCTCTGCTCATGCTGTCCGCTTACCAGTGGGGTCACCCTCGGATGCTGACGGGGAGGGGAAGGGTGGAGCGCCAGATCCCCAGGAACGAGGGGTCCTGATATTTTAGTTTAAAAAATGTAATATAAATATAGGCCTAGTTTCATTCAATGGGGCCCCGACAGTTTTAAACATTGAAAATGCAATGGTCTAGTACGATATTATCATACAGAAACCGCATTACCTCAGGATGTAAATAATCGCTGCAGTTTTTTGTTTAAGTTGCAGTTTGTCTTGCGAACCACACTTGATCGCGTGACCAGTTTGTATATATATTTTGTTTCTCACTAAAGTATTCTTTGCATTTATTTACACCTACATAGAGGCCTACTGTAGGCCACCAGTTCCGAAAGTTGGCCTGTGTGATCTATGTTGGTTTTGTCATGAAACTGTCACAAATATTTCATCAGTCATGGGCCATTCTGTGTTCTCTGACAACGCAGTTAACAGTTAAATACCATAAACTCTGAGCGCCTGGACCCCGACCAGGGCCCCTACATGCCCCCTGGCCCCAGCGTCTGTTTGTTCACACCGTTTACAAACTTAACGCTTGCTACGCTCGCTTTAGGGCCCCCAATAATAGTCACTGCTAGGACCCCACAAACTCCGTGACACTACCGCTCACATCGCACCCGTCCCCAGCCTAGGCATGTTGACCCATCAGCGGCCCTAGACAGAATGCATGTTTTTAACCCTTTGGACACTTGTTGGTATTGCACTTTAACTTCAACTTTCCATGGTTTGTAACAGCAGTACAAAAGCTGCAGTATAGGCCTATAACAAAAATCGGCTATAACAAAAACACCTCAAACACTAAACATGTATTCATAGCTACATAGCAAGTTATATTCAACTTTGAACAATGCAATTCCAATTCCGGAAAGTTTGGCTTACAAAGTTTCCAGTTTCCTGGATTTTAATTGATCAGAAAATAAAGAGTATTTCCGCATAGAAAGCGAAATTTCCGATGAATAACCTTACTTTTGTAAGAACATAAGAACATAAACGGTGTCAAGTGGTACTCGTGATTTCAACATAGGCTTATATGTGTGAAAACTTCAGATGCTTCTCATTAGAATAGTCAACCTCGATTGGTTCAATCAATAACGGTGTTGAACGGGCCACAAATTGGATTTTGAAGACGAGTGGTTATAATATTAAAATCGTTGATATCTACAGTATTTTTTACACCGTCACTTCTAGAAACAGGTGAGTGTTCTTTTAAACTTATTGTTCTGATAGGTTTTTTTTTTTTTTTTTTTTTTTTTTTTTTGTAAGCCTCTACTTTCATTCATTGGTATCAATACGACGTCAGCACGATCATATGAAATCCATACCAATCAATATATAGGCCTATCTAAATTATATTCGATGAAATTTGGGCAAATATGTTTTTGTTTACTTTAATAGAATCGGATAAATTTCTGTAATTGCAGAACCATTGGTGTTTTTAGTTAATTGTGTGTATTTTTTTTTTTATCATAGATGATTTTCAGTGTTGTGGGCATTTAAATTATTCGTTTGTATATCATTTCTCGTCGTCTTACTACACGTTGTTCTTTTTTCTCACCTTATATTGTTATATAGGCACGGATACAAAGTTAAACCATGGAAATGGACGTAATTAATATTATAACAAACTGTTCTCTAGACCCTGTGGACCTTATGGATTCTGGTTTGTTCGCTACCTCTACAGGATTTATTTTGTTCACTATTTACTTCTTCTTAATATGCATCTGCTCAATCGTGGAAAATACAATCATCCTGATGGCAATAATTCGCATAAAACGACTGCACAAGCGTCGAAATATCCTCATCTTTAACTTAGCTGTTACGGACTTAATGGCTGGTGTGATTTATCCATCTAGTGTCATTTTCAATCAAACGTATATGGAAAGCATCGGTTTTATTATTGGTTTTGTATCCGTCTTCACCATCCTCGCAATCGCCATCGAACGCTTTGTGAAGATTGTTGTATTTACAAACCATAGCTCGCACATTGGCACTAAGCGTCAACTTTTGGGAGCGTCGATTATTGCGTGGGTGATACCGTCTATTACCCTTTTTCCTATTTCTGTATATAACTATACGTTACACCTTGTTATTTTCCTCACTCTTGGACCACTGTGCATTTTTGTGGTAATGACTGCAATATCTGTACTTTACCTTGCAATATACGTAAAGATACGCTCTCATGATAAACGAATGTCTTCTAATTTAAACCTCCCAGAAAAATACAAGTTTACTAAACTTGTTCTACAGGCCTACGTAGTTATAGTTGTAGTGTACGCTATTTGTTGGTTGCCATGGGGGATAGAATCTCTTCGAATTATGTACACAATGTATTTTGGGTTTGATGAAGAGAATCGCTGCATTGTCTCTACTTTGGCTTTCTATATCGGTGTTGCTATGGTATTACTGAATTCCGCCGTAAACCCGATTATATATTTTCTTAGGTTACCTGATTTCCGCAAAGGTATTACAGAATTAATTGGATGTTGTTTTAAAAAAGCACCAGTCGTTGAAAATTGTAGTCCTCTGAATACAACCGGTCGTCATATCACAAATTCTATAGATGATATAGAGTTAACTTGACAGGACGGTAAAAATTGTTTGACATTGTTGCAGTATGTATTAGTAACTATTCTCTTATATTGAAGGTTCAATGTGTTATTTTATCTTTTTAACTCCGTTTATGACCCTTTCTGGGGCTCTTTGCTTTACATTTGTTGAATCAGCTTTTAGGTTAGCGTTTGCTGTTGTATTTATTTCTTATAGTCTTCTGCTTGTAGTAATTTACTTAATTGTGTTGTACAGTATTCGTAATTTTGTATTATTGAAATTTGAAAGCAATAATTATACTACACTAAATCATTTACGTCATCTGTGTGTAAGAATCACGTCATCACTCAATTGTTGCGTGTTGTTACCGTATTATATCAAAATGGCTAATGGCAATAATTTGTACCCGGTGGAAAGTTTACATTTTTACAAGGTTGATAATAAATATTCTCTTATATAAATCCATTGATTGATTGATTGATTGATTGATTATCTTTGTATCTACAGTGAATTTTCAGATAGTTTTGGTTTCCTTTTTGTGAAGATTTATTGTTCTTAAAAAGATACCAAATATGACATCATGTGTACATCAACCGTCAATAATCAATAGGGATTAATACTCTTGTTTTCAGGAAATGCGTTACGATGAGTCATCATTGCATGACGTGTTGCGGTATATTATCCGGATCAATTAGAGAAAACTTAAATATAGAGTTTTATCATATTTATATTTTTACCGTATATGGCTAAATATGAAATAATTTTAAGAGGTTGTAAGAAATCAATATTGGAAATGAATAATAGAGTTAGAGACAATTGGAAAACATTTTAGCAGAAATAAACTTTAATATAACCTTACGAATCGCATGACATAGAAATGAGTCTGCAGTTTCCAATTGTTTTGGGTTTCGGGGGATGTTTGGTTTAGAGAAAGCAACAACATGCTTTCCCCCAAGCTAGATCGTCGCCAAGCTTATGAAGAAGGTTAAATATCTGAGACAGAGTATTAAATAATTACAGAGGTAGCATGAATGGTCGATTTAGTAAGAGCAACTTCATCAGCAGCCAAACTTTTACAGAAGTCAGATTTGATCTTGGTGGGAGAGGCACTGAAGGAAAACTTAAATTTTATTGGAAATGATTACGAGTACTTTGAACATCAGTAATAAGTTGCACTGTGAACATTAAAATCGCATGTAACTGACTTTTCACTTTTACCACATGGTGTTGTATAAGGAATGACCAAACGTGTTTTCTTTTCGAATAGGTCTATACATAATATTTTTTAGCATGACCAGAAAATTTAAAATACATGGCCTCTAAGTTACGTATTGAAAAGAATAACATCGCTAATATTTTGATGAATTTAATACAGTGTAAACCACTAATCGTTAAATTTAGTAACACTGGATGATATTTATTAGCAGCATTAATTGAGAGCTTACTTTACATCCGTTGTTGCAAAGTTAATGATTATATTTAATTACGCAATTGTATATTTTTACACCATGCTCTATATTGTCCGGCTTTATATATTATGTGGATTTTGGGATCATAAAAGGAAGCGAATAATTTATATCACTATATTATATATTCTTTTATTGAAATCACCTTACAAGCCACTGAATGTCATTTCTAAGAAAATGGTTACATCTCTAATTTAAATTACACACTTGTGTCTGGACACTTCACATCCCATCAACGGTTTAGAATACCGGATGGAGAATTTTTACACTTGCAGATTTCTCTTCTTTTGTCTATGTATATATATATATAGAAACTTTCATTCAGGCCATTGAGGAGGACGTTAAAAACCACACTCCTAGTCCAGATTTCCGCGACAATCTCACAAAAAATGAGAGGCAGGCCATCGCCAATTTGCGCCAGCGTGATGATATTATCATCAAACCAGCTGATAAAGGCTCTGCCACTGTCGTAATGGACACTAAATTCTATGAAGAGGAGTCCTTAAGACAACTAAACAATCCTCTTCACTATCGGAAGCTCACAGAACATTATATATTTTTCGCCAAAAAGTGGGGGGGGGGGGGCCGCTTCCGCCGGCCATGTTATTAAGGGGATATTTTGTGTGCTTGTGTTTTTCAAGGTAATAATCGGGGGAAACAAAAACAAGCTACCCAACATAAGCACTGTGTGTCTGTGTACAGAAATCTTCCTTGAAAAGTAAAAAACAAATTTAAAGCACAGAGTTATAATTATTTTTACAATTTTAAATTCGCCTTTGTGCATGTTTCTTGCTGCACTTCTGACCTTCGTCAACTATAATAATACAGGTCGATCTACCTGGACAGTACTACCCTGCTTTCGAAGACAAAGTAATACTGTAATCTTATAATCAATAAAACAATATAATTTCCTTAATGAAGATTTATATAACAATCTCACGTCTGCGGTACAATCAGTTGTATAAACCTGATGAGTGTTGTTACTTCTAAGGTAAGATATTGTTTAACTGTTTATTATTAAGTTTATGGCTTTTGTTTCAGTGCCGCTATATATTTGGTTTGTGCCTCTTGATTCTATGTCTTATTATTACTTAATTATTTTATCATTAATTAATTATTATTATAAGCTTAAGATAAATAAATGATCTCGGAAACAGAAGTACCACAGATATATACTGTATTGCTCAAATCCAATCGATAATTAGCATGATTATGTTTTTTACTGTTGGCCTATCGTCAACACACATTATGAAAATATTTTTACAAGTCATTAGGCCTACACTTTCTCAAATCTTTATAGGCCTATTATCATTTTCTGTATCATGAGCTTGGTTCTCGTAAATAAAAGTTTAGAAAGGTTCGAGTCGTAATATAATTGTTAACTACTATTGTTAGGCCTATACGTAATTGTACCTAGGCCTAACTGTGATACTCATAAATACGAAAATGAACTACGGTATGTATATTTTGTAATTAAAGGCACGGAAAAAGTTGTTGAAGTAGCCGCAAAGATGAACTGTTCCGTGGAACCTGTCGAGGGTATGGACTCTGATATATTCGCTAGCACAACAGGGGCGACGATTTTTACGGTTTACTTCTTCTTTATGTGCATCTGCTCCATCATTGAAAATACTATCATCCTGGTGACGATAATTCTTGTGAAACGACTGCACAAACGTCGACATATACTCATCTTCAACTTAGCTCTGACGGACCTAATGGCTGGCTTTATTTATCCCTGTAGTGTCATTTACAACAAAAATTATACTGAAAGCATGAGCTTTATTGTCGGCATTTCGTCCGTCTTCACCATCTTTGCAATCGCCACCGAACGCTTCCTGAAGATTGTTGTATTTACGAAAAGTAGAAACGCACACATTGGCACTACACGTCAACTTGTGGGAGTGTCGGCTGCTGCGTGGATGATACCGTTTGTTATACTGTTGCCTATTATTATATATGACTATAATCTACATCTCCTTGTTTTCCTCATTTTTGAACCAGTGTGTATTTTTGTGGTAATGGCTGGTATATCTGTATTGTACCTTGCAATATATGTTAAGATACGCTCCCATGAAAAACGAATGTCTACTAATTTAAACCGAAGCGAAAACTATAATCTTACTAAGCTTGTCCTAAAGGCTTACGTTGTGTTAGTTGCAGTTTATGCTGTTTGTTGGTTGCCATGGGCTATAGAATGTATCCGAATTACATACACAACGTTTTTTAAAATTGATGAAGAAGAGAGTACTTGCATTGGCTCAACTACTTTGCTTTTCTATATTGGTGTTGGTATGTCATTACTGAATTCCGCCTTAAACCCAATTATATATTGGCTTAGGTTACCGGATTTTCGCGAAGGGATTTCGGAATTGTTCGAGTGTTGTAAAAAAGGGTATAGGCCTATCTGTTGCTTTAAAAGAGCACCAGTCGTTGAGAATTCAGGTTCTCAAAATACAACCTCATCGAACTTAACAAGATAAGTAATACATGGGACGGTTACCTTCTAAAATAATAGAAAAACATAATACGTACCGGTACATAAAAACATATGCATAAGTTGGTGTGCTGTATGTAAAAAGTCTGTTGTAGAGACATTTTGAGTTCTTCTTAAAATATTTATGATATTGACTTTTACTGAGAAAATTCAGAATATATTTAGGCCTATCATGAAATTCATTGCATTTTTTTCTCTCTCATAGGCCTATAACGAATTTGCCTGTGCAAGCCTCCAAACCGATGTAACTTTATAAAGATCTCATTACGATGAGTGATGATGACAAACAAAGTTGTTTCCAAACGAAACGGAATAGGCCTACGTTAGTTAAATTTGAATTCGTATGGAAAGATTGATAAATTTAGAATGACCGCACGGATACAGAGCATGATGATGAACAGAACAGGTACCAGCAACTGCCTTATAGCATTTAAGGCAGAACCACTTTGAACTTGCTAAACGTATGTAATATAAATTCGAAGTATATTTGTTGTTTCTCTGGTTATTTGGTGTCAAAACAAAAAATTAGGGCAGTAAAGCTAATAACCTGTATTAAGAAGTTTAGTTCATTTACATTAAATTGATAAGCATTTGTGAATTGTCTGTGCAAAATATTGTTATATATATATGCTATGTATATTTTTATTTTTTTTATGTCTGTGATCAACAATGTCATAAACTTATCTATATTATACATAATACACCCTTTTATTTTTAGATTTTTCTCAAATCGCATTTTTGGACAACATCTCTAATCAATCACTACCATCATTATTCCCGATATTTTCATAAAAAAAATCTGGAAAAAATGAGTTAGGGGGAGTGGAATGTTAGAAGCAATCCACATAGCCAGATATCCTAATTAATCCCTTCTGGTCACCCTAAGGCAACAAACTAGACATATAAAAACTACTGTCACTCATGCCACAATGGAACATAATTCAAAAATAGGTGTTTATTTGTTTTAAAATAATCGCAAAATATACTTAAAATGTACATAAAATAAGAACGAGTATATAAGCTACTAGTATAGTTTTCTATGTAATGCAGATAGATTTCTGTGCAAAAATATATTTTATTGACTAATTTTATAATTTTTACTGCGCTGGATTAAAAAAAGTTTGGTGCCATTTTTTCCCAACATCATCGGCCGCCATTTTGAATTCCAAGATGGCTGACGCACCACATAAAACATGGTCATGATTGGTGTCACTGGAAAGGGAATTATACACTGATCATGTATTGTCATTACACCAAACAACATAACACATATCTAAAGCGATATAGACCAATATATAAAGTCACATGACACAAAAGGTCAAAAAATCAAACTTACCAAAAGTTGGTGTGTTCGTTATCATTTGAAAGCTCTGCCAATGATGAGTTATGTTTTCCAGTATATACATATCAGAAATTGTGTAGTTTTTCATATATTGTCCTGTAAATCTAATTATGGCATTCTGTATAAAAATTAACAGGACTCAGTTGCCTAATGTTTATGCACTCTCGGAATGGAGGGGGAAGAGGGTGGGTTCTCTTACTACTAACTAGCATTTTACTATCGAGCCTTAATCGTGCATAACGCATGTGCTTTATGGACCAATTCCCCGCTCAAATGGGTCCTTGAGAGGCCACGGGGGCCGAGCCCTTCTTACTACTGTATTACCATCACTTTAATAAAACGCCTTGTAACTTTTTCTATAAAAAATCAAATAGAACAAAATCCCACAAACACACTCTTTGGCTGATATATTAGATGGGTTCAGTCCAACTACGACCCATCATTTTACTATGGAGGTTTGACCAGATATGTACACCTGTGCTTTCTGGGTAAATACTTAGTTCCTCCGAGTCCAATTGAACCCCAGATAGGCCAGGGGCCCCACTCTTACTTCATGGTGGCCAAGGCAAATACAGTATGTTGTGTTTTCCTATTTATTGATGATTCTACATACAGTAATACTTGTAACTATGAACAAAGGTACCGTTATGTTACGTGCTGTATAATATATTTGATTGGCTGATTGATTTGTTAAACATTAATAGGCATAATCCTCCCAGTGACAACGAGTCGTGGGTCCCGGGCCGAAACAATGTTAGGAGCACCATGCATCAGTAAAATATTTTTGCTCACGAAGTGACACCGTGGTGGGTAATCCCCCTAGAGATAAGTGTTAAGAATGAAAAGACTGTAATTATTAGACAATGCCAAAAAATGTTGTGTGAATAATATTTTGCACACATTTTCAATTTGAATATTTGGGTCCAACATATTAGGTCTATGCATATAATAATAAATAAAGTTCTTAACCGTTCTGAATCGACAGAACAAGTGGTTGTCATTGACTACTACAGTAGTTGACAAGCTTCAACAGTGCAAAACAAAAGGAGGACCCTAGAGGGAAAAAATATGTTAGCTGACCTTATATTTCACTTTCACGTTCCTTGTTTTTGTTTTCTATTTTAGTATTAGCTAACCGTCTAATTACTTACTTATCTTCTCTTTTACTTTCATTCTATGCTTCCTTAACTTTCCGTGATTGTTATTTACCTACCTTTTCTTTCTTTCGTCTTCCTTTTTCTTTTAATTACCTTTTCTTTCCTTTCCCATTTCTTTCTAATGCCTCCTTGTGCATTATTTATGCACGTGCATTTTCTTAGCTTTGCCAATATAAATAAGTATTATCAAACAATCAATCGTTTCAGGGTGGGTCCAGGAGACACGGGTCTATCTAAACCCTAAAAACATAAAGAAAAAAGACCAGAAAGAAGGGAGCATGACGTCACTGTAGGCCTACTCCAAAACAAGCTATTTTTTTAATGTCTGTGGTCTCCACCATTTCTAAACAAAATTCTTTCTCTATATTTGTCCCTTATGGGTGGATGGATATATTCGGTATAAACATCAAGGATAACCAACAAAAGTCGGAAGAATACTTGTTTCCAGTGAGGTCCTTCTGGTGGTGATTGGGTACTACACCGGCAGTGGCCTAACGATGGGCCCGGGGCCTTGTGGCTGAGACTAAGGGCCCTTTTTTGATCCGGCCACCACTTTGATTGTGGGAATTTAAATGTGCTCGTTTTTCTAATATTTGGCATTGTATTCTAGATTGCTTTTAACGAAATAAATTATATGATATCTGTTGCAGATCAAGGTATTCAAAATAGAGGGAATGTGGGAAGGGAGGGACTGTCACACACTAAGGGGCTAAGGTAAGATCAGGGGCTAAGGTAAGATCATTTATGAATACGGCACCTCGAAGTGGCCGGAAATGGCACTCATAGATTTAAAATGCGAATTTCCATTTTTAAAACACTGGAAAATTTAAGGGGGCCTCAGGCCGACAGGGCTCCCATTAAACCTTTACGGGATATACTATGATATATGTCACACAGTCGATCTCAGAGACACATTATGCTGTTATGTATCAACAAAGCCCTTTTGGGTAAGGGTGCCCGAGCGAGGACCCTATGTGTTGGGGCAACTTCGGGGG